AAAAAAAAAAAAAATATAAAATTTTAATTTTTACATTAGTGAAAAAAAATGTATGTTTAATTTTTTTTTTTTTTATATTGTTAAGATACATTGTTGAAATTTTATTTTTAAGATTTAAAAATATAACTTTTTTAGAGAAATTAATTTTACATAAATTTTTAACATTTTATAAAGAAATATTTCAAATAAATAATATAATATAGGAGTATATAAAGAAAATGGGTAAGTTTATAAAAAATTAAATTTTATTTTTGATATATAATTATAAACATATATATATATATTTTTTTTTATTGTATTTATATACAGAGTTACTTAAATTAATATTATTTTTTTTTTTTATACTTGTATGTGATATTTTTTTTTTAACATTTTCAATATATTTTAATTATCTTTTATTGTTGATACATAATATATTGTATAATGAAATAATATGTTGCTTTATTTTTTTCTTAATAAAAATTAAATGATTTTTTTATTTCTTTTATATTAATATATTAAAAAAAATTTGTTTTTATATTGTAGGAAAAGTTCACGGTTCATTAGCAAGAGCAGGAAAAGTTAAAAATCAAACACCTAAAGTTCCTAAACAAGATAAAAGAAAACCTTTAACTGGTAGGGCAAAAAAAAGACAATTATATAATAGAAGATTCTCAGATAGTATAGGAAGAAAAAAAGGGCCTAATTCACAATTATAATTTTACGAAAATTTTTTAAATTTTAATTGAATTTTATCTAAAGAAAAATGAAAAACGATCATTTTATATTTATGTTGTTTTTTTTTTTTTTTTTTTTTTTTTTTTTTTTCATATAACACCTATAGTGTAGAATTTTCTTTTTATAAATATATTTGATATTTCACCAGAATATGATTGAGAAAAAAATATGAAAGATATATTTTTTTTATGAAACTTTTATTATAAAAATATAAAACTTTATGTAAGGAATAAATGTTTTAATATTAAGTTGAAATTTACATATATATAAACCCAAAAAAAAAAAACTACGAATAAAAAATTTACAAAAATATATCATATATAAATTAATAAAAAATTAAATTTTTAAAGTTTTTTTTTTTCTTTTTTTTTTTTTTATGAATTTTTTCTTTTATTTTGTAGTTCAGTTAAAATCTTCTTTTCTCTTTCTATTGCTTCATTAACTTTATTTAGTTTATTATTTTCATTCATATTGTTGTAGAAATGTAATGACAGTGTAGCAACTAAAAGTATATAAAAACTAATTGAAAAAAAGGATATGTTTCTATCGAAGGCTAAAATATTCCATAAATAATCTCTTTCATTTGCCTCTTTGCTTAATTTTTCTTTTTGTTCTTCATTTTTTTTAGAAGAATAATAATATTTTATTTCCTTAAAAAAATTTGTTGAATTAAAGTTATATTTTTTAAATTGAAAATATATTGTATTATAATTTTGGCTTTTAAATATATAGCGTATCATACTTTATAGAAAAAGGGAGAAACATACTATTAGTTAATATACTTTCTACAATATATATTTTACCTAATTTACCAATTAATACTTTTTGTAAAAATAAAAAAAAAAAAAAAAAAAAAAAAAAAAAAAAAGCTACTTAACAAACAAATATATCACTTCATAAATTTATTTTGAGCATTATTCGTATATAAGTTCTTTAAAAAAATAAAAAATAATAACATAAAATAGAAACACAAAATTTTCAAAATATTTATATAAATATTAGCATATTTCTATAAGTTCATAAAGCATATATATATATTATTAAAATCAAATAATAAAATAATTTAGTTAAAAAATAAAACAATATCATTTACATAATTTATTAAAATATCATTTTAAAATAACCATTAAAATAACAAATATTTGTAAAAAAAAAATTAATAAAGAATGTATAATTAAGAAGAAACAATACGTACAACAAGAAAAAAATTATTATGTAAAAATTTTGAATGTGCAGAATAAAAAAAAAAAAAAAAAAAAATTGAAAAATACTTGTTTTAAAGAAATTAATTTTTAAAAAGATCTGAATAAATACCTTACTAAAGAAAAAAAAAAAAAAAAAAAAAAAAAAAAAAAAAAAANTGAAAAAATACCTTACTAAAAAAAAAAAAAAAAAAAAAAAAGAAATAAAAGAAAATCTGAAAGGAAAAATTATTTTTTATAAAAATATCTTAATAATAAAATATTTTTGTAAAATAATTAAAGAAATCGAAAGATAATATTGAAAAACTATATTTTTAAAGGTAAAAAAAAAAAAAAAAAAAATTTAATATAAATATTAATTATATGTGCGTAAAAAATAAATATATATATATATATATTTTTAATTGAAACATCATATTTTTTTTTTATAAATTGTTTGGCACCACTAATAATAAAATTTTAACATTTTAACTTGAAATTTTAATTATAACAAAATACATTATATATTTTTTTTATATACAAATAAATATTTATTTTTAGAACTTCATATATGCATACACAAATATTCTTTTAAAAAAAAAATTTAGAACTATTTATTGTCTTCTTTATTTTAATAATAAAAAGTGAGAAATTGTTTTTCCTTTTTTTTTTTTTTTTCTTTATGTGTGTGTGTGATTTCATATATTTTAAATATTAATTGAGAAATATTAAAAGATCTTTGAATATGAAATTAACATAAACTATATGATAAAAACATAATTACATCTAAAAAAAAGATCTGTTTTTATTCTTATTAATTTTTTTAGATGCCAAGCAATAGAAAAATATCTCAAAAAGTGGAGGCTTTTGATAGTAATGTATCAAAAAGAGGAAAAGTTCCTCCTTCTTTAGTAAAGAAAGGAAGAAAGCACCCAGTAGGCCCAACACTTTTAGTTGTCTTTATCTTTGTTGTTATTGGATCAGGTAATAATATATATATATGCATTAGTTGTTTTTCTTAAAAAGTATTATTTTTTTTATAAATTATTTTACATCTTTATTTAAAAAATAACATTTAATTTAATATTTAAAAAGGTTACAAAACAATTTTAATTTTTTACCTATATCTTATTTGACTTATATTTTTTATTTTGTTTTTAATCTATATGTTAGCTTTATTTTTTACTTTTTTTTTTTGTTTTTCTTCTTTTTTAGTTATCGTTCAAATGTTAAGTATAATACAGAAATCTAAAATTTTTGAATGAGTTTTCCTCCTTTTTTTAAGGTTGCAATTATTAGAATATAATATTGCATAACAGTTACATATTAGAATCATATTAAGAGTGATTGAAACACTTTAAATCAAATTTAGATAAATCTTTTCTTTTTTTTTTTTTTTTTTTATCAATTTTTATTAATTTTGAAATAATCAATTGTAAAAAAAAAAAAAAAAAAAAAAAATTAATTTTGTGCATATTTTATTTTGTTAAAGTTATACATTAAATACGTATTAAATTTTTACAAACTTGAAAAGTCATAAATGTTTTTTTTTGTTTTTGAGGAATATATTATAAATCATCAATTTTTTAAGTATCATATATATTATATTAAAATTCTTAATTTTTAAAGAAAAAAGAAAAAAACAGTATGTTTAAATACATATATTTAATTAAAAGGGTACATAATTTTCCTATTTATATAAGATTAAATTGAAAACAAAATATGTTTCAATAATTAATAGTGTAATGAGAATAATTAAAATTTGAAATAAAAAAAGGAAAGGAATTTTATTCTTTATCTGAGTTTTCTATCTAAAATTTTCTCATTTTTAAATTCGTTACTTCTCTTTGATTTAATTCTCTATATTGCTTAGGAAAATGTATGTTTTTTAATGTTATATTTTCAAAAGCAGTTCTTTTAATTTTTATTATTGGTTGATTTATTTGTTCAAACATTTTTCTTATTTGTCTATTCCTTCCTTCTTTAACACTGATACTTAATACACTTATCTTTTTTATTTGATCTTTTATTTTTAAATTTTCTTCTCTAATTATTTCAATAAAAGCTGGTTGGGTTTTTTTCTTTTCTTTTTTACTACTGTCATTTTCTAAATATATACCACTAGCTAACTCTTTTAGGACATTCATTTTAACTGGTCCTTCAATATGTATTCTATAGGTTCTTATTCTTTGATATTTTGGATGTGTCAATCTATTAACCCATTCATACTCATTTGTTAGTAGTAACACACCTGAAGTATTTCTATCTAATCTTCCTACAAAAAGAAAAAATAACAAAATAAAATAATATATATATATATTGAAAAAGAATATTTTTAATTTCTATATATATATATATTTCTTTGTAAAATTATTATTGTTAAGATGGTAATTTATTATTTTATTTTTTTTTTTTTTTCTATTAATATTCATCTTATTTTTTCTTTCTTTTTACTATAATTGTCGTTATGAAAATCATAATTTTATTTTTACAATTTCTTTCAATATATGTTTTACTTTAAACATTTTATATGAACATAATATAATTAATAAATAAAATTTATTACTCTTCATCTATTAAATATGTATATTTCTTAGTTTTAATTCACTAACCTACTGACACGAAACGATACTTTTCTAACAAATCGTTAGGAAAAATAGAAAAAATAGATTTTCTATTTTTTTCATCATTAGAAGTACATATCAATCCCTTTGGTTTGTGTAGAACAATCCATTTATATGAATTATTTTTGTATTCATTTATTAAACTTTTTATATTTTTAATCTTTATTTTTTTTTCACAAATTTTTAAGCTATCCTTTGTTATATCAACGTGCCTACCTGGATCTGTTATAATTTTATTATTTAATTTTACATTACCATCTTTTATAAATTTTTCTGATTTTCTTCTTGATATATTCTTTTTAATAGAAATTAATTTATTCAATCTTATAATATACTCATTGCTTTTATTTTTAGTTATAGTTAGATCAAAACAAAAAATGTTACTTTTAAATGAAGTTATAATTAAAAAATAACATAATAATTTATTAAAGTAAAATAAAATAGAATATAAAAATTTCATCGATTTTTTTTAGGTAATTAATTTATGAAAACTAGAATTAAAAAAAAAAAAAGAAAAATAAAACAAATATATGTTCATATTGAATGTAATATATAAATCCAGATGGACAAAGCTCACATTGGCATCAAATTAAACAAAAATAATGTTCAAAATGAAATTATAAATATGGAATATTTAGAAAGAATTAAGTTAGCATATAACTAAAAAACATATAAGAATATAATTACGTTAGATATTAAAAAGGAAAAAATATTTACAAAAATTATTTATAACATTTTTAAATAAAAAATAAATTATGTATATATACATATATATCAGAAAAAATTGAATTTAATTACATTGATTTTTACAAAATAAGAAAAAAAAAAATTAATAACCTTGTCTTTATAAGATTAACTTAGCCAAAAACAATTTATATTATCCATTATTTATGTAAATTTGTATATATTTTTTATATAATGTATGTTACATTTTAAACTGTAATGGAATTTTAGTTTACATCCATATATTCTTCAATTTTTAATGTAGGTTATTGTTTAAATAGTAACAAAATTCAAGTTATAATTTTATATCCGATAAAATAGTGAAAATTCTTTTTTCTTTAATATTTAATTTACTTGTTAATTTTTAAAAATAAAAAAAATTTTTTTTTTTTTTTTTTTATGTTTAATCCTATACATATGTCATAAAAAGAAATTAAGTAGCAAATTTTTATAAGTGTTATAATATAATAATAAAAATTTATATTTTTAATAATTTCTATCCAAAATTTTTTATATTAATCTAATTCATGTTTTAAAATAAAAAGGACAATACAAGATAAGGATGGAAAAATGAAGATATATAAAATGTATATTTATTAAAAAAAAAAAAAAAGCCATAAACAATATTACTATCTCAATTTAAAAAAAAAAATAAATAAAATGTTGAAGATTTAAAAAGAAATGTAATATATTTAAAAATTTTATATATTTTTCAATATATTTTTTACATTTTTCTAATATTTCAGCATCTTATAGAAATTATATATTTCAGAAGTATGTAATAAAATAATACTGGAAAAAAAAAAAATAAAATAAAATAAAAATAAAAAATTTTACTATTAAGAAATGCAATATAAAAATATAAAATTAATATTTCAAATTAAACATGAATTTAAAAAAAATAAATTCATCAGAAAAGTATCATGAAAAAAAATAACTATTTTTGGAGATTTTTAAAAACAGGTGTATAAATTAACTTTAAGAGAATATATATATATATATATATATATATATATATATATATATATATATATATATATATATTTACGTAATAATTTATTTATGAAAAGATAAAATAAAATAGATACAAATGGAAATATAATTAACATAAAAATTTATAATGACATGCAAATACATACGTACATATATATATATATAATGTATTGATTATATTTCTATTTTTTTTTTTTTATATTTTTATTAACAGCTTTAGGTTTAGTGGTAGATTTAATTTTCATAGTACCCTTTTTATCTATATTACTTTTAATTAATAAATCATTGTCTTTTTCTTCTTTTGTGTCACTTAAGTTATCATTGTCTTCATCTGATTCATATTCATTAATTCTAAATATATTACTTTTTTCATTTAATTTAAAGCTTTTTCTTATAGAATTAGGATCATTTTTAATAACATGAGAAGCATTATATAACCGGGTAAATGAAGACTTTACTTTTGAATCAAGTTTGTCATATAAGTTTTCTTGATTTGGTAATCTTAGAGAAGGTAAATGTTCAGTTATCATTTCTCTTGTAATATTATAATCTTCCATAAATTTTATTGTTTCATTTGTATTATTTTTAAGTAACATAGTCATAATTTTAAAGTATATATAATTTAAAAATCCAGAGGTAACCATATATTTTGGGCATACATTAAGTTTGTAAGATAAATTAAAACATAATTCATTGAGTAATCTTTTGTTTTTATTAAAAGTTGAAATTTTTCCAAACGCTGAAGGAAAGTTAACTCTTCCTGACATGAAATATTTTAGTAGTCTTATTCGCATAACTGGACAAACACAAGATAAAATACAAAAATGAGGTAATAAAGAAAAATCCATTGTACTTTTCATATTATATTTTATTTTATCAGCTAAAGATAAATCATAAGCTATTTGAGAATATCCGTTCCATTTTTTAAAAGAGTCAGCTGATTTATCATTGTCATTAAAAACATTAGTATAATTTTCACTAATAAAATATGGGATTAATTCATAATCAACAAAAAATAGGTCCATTATTTCTCTTATTTTTAATTTTGATGATTCATGAAAATTTAAAAGTTTAAGTGTTATTTCAAATGGATTAGCTAATGATTGTACATTTTTATTAGAATTATTAAGTTCTTTTTTTAAATCTAAAAATTGAATTCTTGTATAAGTTTTTGATAAAAGTTGTAGAGTATTTAGCATTTGTCTCATATCTCCATGAGTGCTTTCCCATAATAATTCCAGGGCATTTGGTTCCATCACAATTTTTTCTTTATTGCATATTTCTAACAATCTTTTTACGACGCTATTTTTTTGAGGTAAAGTAAATTTTAAATCATAACACTTGTTAGCTAAAGTTCTCATTTTGTTGTTTTGCCTATCATTACATATACATATAATGGGGCATTTTGTTTTTTCTATTAATTTTAAAATAGCTGTGCTACCACCTTTATCACCACTTGACATACCATCTACTTCATCCATAATAATACATGTTTTTGTTAATTTGCGATTCTTTATTGATGTTATGGAATAACCTCCTGTTGCCATTTCACTAATTTTTTCAACAGCTGCTTTGTTCCTGTCATCTGAAGCATTAAATTCAATAACATTATAACCAGATTGTTCAGATACAATTTTCGCTGTAGTTGTTTTTCCAATTCCTGCAGGACCACTTAACAAAGCACATCGAGCATTTACATTTTCAAATACACCTCGAAAGGTTTTTTTTACTTCCCTTTTGATTCCCCTTATACACACATCTTCCCAGTTAGCTAACCAGTTTTGTAATTTTATAACATTTTGATTATTTCCTACTAACTCATTTATATTTTTAGGTTTGTATTTTTCAACCCATAACTGATTAAGTATTTTCTCATCATTCATTTCATTGTTATCAATGTCATTGTTGTTTTTATTATAATTAGTATCTGTAAATTTTTGACTTGATATATCACTTCCTTCATTTTTTATAGTTTCTTGCATTCTGGTTTCATTAAACGTTGAATTTTGCACATCATTTTTTTCTTCTGGAAGCAATTTTAAAAATTCTTCTTCATTTAATATTTTAATATTTGATTTTTTTTGTTGTTGTAATTCAAATGCTTTTAAATACTTTCTTCCTTCATTATACAGTCTACCATCTTCTAGGTATTCTCCATGAATTAGATAATGCGTTTTTGTTGATACTGCTGACATTACACTACCACCGTGTTCTTTTATTTTATTTTGTAATTCATCTCTTGAAAATTTTTTAAATACTCCTGTTAATACAAATTTTTGATTATTAAAAGGTAAATAATCAAAATTTAGGATGTTTTCATTGTTTTCGGTTTTTGTTTTATTTTTTCCTGGTGACGTATATTCTTTTTTATTTTCATTTTCTTCTATTATATCATTTTCATCCCTTTCTCTTTTTACATTAGAATTTGTATCTTCACTTTTTATGTTTGTATTACTTTTTTGTAGTAAGTTAAAATAATCATTTACATTTTTCACAGCAACTTTATTATCGTTAGTATTTGATTTTTTTATGGAACTTTTTTCTTCTACTTTTTTTGAAATGGGCTTAAAATATGATTTTATATCATAACTATTTTTATTTAATGATTTTCTTCCATCTAAATTATCTCCTTTATTATTATTATTATTATCCTTTATTTTAACATTATCATTACTATATGATTTTTCTTTTTCTTCATAGTCATTATCATCATCATCATCATCAAATAAATCATTTGCTAGCTTTTTTAGGCGCTTTTTTTTCCTTCCATATTCATTATTATCATCATTTAACGATTTTTTCCCCTTTGAACTCATTTATTAAGTTAAAATAAATACACTTAAAAAAGATGTATAAATATGTGTTAAGATTTAATAATAAGAAGAAAAAAAGAAAAATGAAAAATATAAATAAGTATATAGAAGTATCTTTTAAGCAAAAAAATGTATATTAAATATATATATATATTAATACACTCAATTAGTTAAAAAGATATACTTAGATATTCATATTTAAAAGAAATTTCACATTTATACATGTATAAAATTAAAAAAAAAACTCTTATATATATATTTATTTTGTAAAAAAAAAAAAAAAAAAAAAAAAATTGAAAATATGCTTAAGAGTATAAACTTGTTTAAAAAAACACAAAATATTTAAAGATATGTGTTAAAAAAAAAAAAAAAAAAAATACACGCAAGAGAAAATTCAAATAAAAATGTGATTAATATCGAATAATGTTTGTTGAAATAAAAAAAAAAAAATTGGTAAATAATAGAAAATTCTTTATATCTTACAAATTTTAATACAATTGTAGAATTTATAAAATATTAATAGTTTTCCTTTTAATTAAAATCTCTTTTTTAAATACAAGCATCTAAATATTAAAACATATCCTTTTAATTTTTTTTTTTTTTTGATTTTTTCAGTTATAAGATAATCATTTAATAATCGATATTTTAAAAAAAAAATTATGTAAAATTAATTTGTTCTTTTAAAAGGAATAAAAACAATTTAAATTATATTTTTTATAAGTTGAAAAAAAAAAAAATTTTATATAAACTTTAAGTCTTTTTTCATTGTTATTTACAGAAATATATATATATATATATATATATATATTACATATATTTTTTTTTTCCCCCATTAAGATAATAGCTTTCTTAAATAGCTCATGTATTATATATTTAATGTAAAATTTTTTGTCTATTAAATATTAAACATGATTATATATATATTGAAGATTTCATATATGCTACTATATGAGAGATTTTTTTTTTAATATTAATTATATATACCTTTTTTTCCTTAAAAATTTTTATGAGTTTTAATTAAATTTATTAAGAAAAATTGTCTTTTGTTAATTTTCAGTAATAAAATATAGAAAATAAAAAATAATACTTTTTATTTTTTTTATTACATTTTTTATTAGGGTTGATATTATTGCTATTATTCTTATCTTTTAATTTTTTATTGAATATTTTTTAATAAAAACTATAAATGTCTTTTTGATTTAAAAATAGCTTTATCATTATCATTTACAATTATGCTAAGTTATTTTCATTTTAATATTTTTCTCATTATATATTTTTCTTTTTTATAATTAGATTACGAAGAATTTCTATTTTTACTTTTTGATTATTAAATTAATAATATTAAATAATACATGAATCATTTTTTTTAATATTTTAAATACAAATGTAACAATTTAAACCTTTTTTATAAAATTTGTTATCTATGTATTTTAAAGATAAAGGATAATATAAAAAGTTAAATTTTTTATTTATTAACATTTTACTATAAGACTTTAAATAATAAAATATAATTTTACTATTTTTTTTTTTTTTTTTTTTTTTATAATAAAATAATAATTATTTTTAATTCTTATATAAATATTTAATTATAATATATTATTTTCGTAAGGTGTGAAAACACATTTTTTTTTTATGAAAATTACCTTGATATTTTTAAATATAATAAAATTATCATATCGATTTTTCTATAAACAAATTTTTTTAATTTACAAGAATATTTTATATATATATATATATATATATATATGAAAATCTATGGAATTATTAAATAATTCCTTTCTTATATATATTGTAAAACACAATAGTGAAATATATATAAACATATATATATTTATTTATAAATGATATTGTTGTTTTTACTTTTTCAATACCTATATATAATAAATATAAAAATATATATTACATATATCAGGTATTCTTTTTATTTTTATTCTTCTATTAAAATCTAAAAATTATTAGTTATATTTTCAAAAATAGATATTTGCACTTTGATTTCTATGTTTTATACAAAGATATAAAAGAAAAGGGTTAGTTTCATATTTTAGAAGTAATAATAAAAGAATTATGGAGTAATTTTATACATATTAATTTGAATTATATAATTCATTTTAAAAGTAATATTTTCTTTGATTTTTAATATATTTTATCTTTTGTTTTTATTTTTTATTTTGATGAAATCTTATAAGGTTCTTTAAATATTTATATTTTTTGGTGGATATAATATTTTAATATGAATAATTTAAACGTTAAGTAATCACATAATGGAAAAGTTTCTTAATTTATTTGGTATAATTAAAGAATTTCATTACAATAATGATTTTTATAAAATTTTAAGTAAATAACTCTTTTTATGTGAATGTTGTTTCCTTATAAAATTAATTTATAATTGTAAAGAATAATTCTTTACATAAAAAATATAATTAAAAATTAATATAGTAATCCTAAAAAGTATGAACACAAAAAAAATATATAATAAAAATACAATATGACTTTTAAAATAGTATTCTTTAGTTTATATTTATAAATAAAAAAAAGCTTTAGTGTAATTTTATTAATAATTAGTAATAATTTTTTTTTTAATTTAAACAGATCATTTTATTTAGTATTATTCCTTAATTATATGACTTTAATTATTTAGAGAATTATAAGATTTTATCTGTCTAATGATTTCACAGTATTTAATAAATAGTTTTTTTTTTTTTTTTTTTTTCATCCATATTATATTTGAATAATTTAGATAAAATATATAATTAGATTAAGTACATAATACATAATGACACTGAAATAATAAAGTGACATATATACATTTGATATATCTTTTAAAGAATTTTTATTTTTGTTATTTTTTTTTTATATAATAAAAAGGTATCATTGTTATTAAAAAATGAAAAATTTTGTAATGTGTTTTTAAGTTGTTTTTTTTTTTTTTTTTTTTTTTTTTTTCGTTAGCACAACAAACTACGTATTCTTCATGTAGCTAGTCCTTTTTATAACCAAAAAGGTTAATGAAGCCTTTTATTAACCAACTATATAAGAGTTGTTATAAAATATTAACCTATTAACAATAAATAAAACATTTAACATAAAATTAAGTTATTTTAAATTTAATATAAAATAAATTTAGTTTGTGCTATATAGATGGTTAATAAAAGGTATTATTAACCTTTTTGCTAATTAAAATTAATAGCAATATGGAAAATAAATAACAATACTATTGTTAGATAAAAAAAAAAAATTGCTAATTTTTTTTTTCTTTTTGTAAATCTTAAATGTATAAAAAGATATGTTTTTTTTTTTTTTTTTTTAAATGATTCAATTGTTCTAAAATTACAAAAAAGAAGAGTTGTTGACAAAAATTTTCTTGTATGGTTTTTTTTTGTATATACTTATATAAGGAAATTTTACATAAATGATAATAATGTTTTAATGTTTTGTAGTATTTGTATAATTTATTTTGTATTTTGTTAATTATTTATATTTGTTAATTTGATAGCAATGTATTGGAATTACTAAATATTACTTATAACATTATAAATAATATATACATAGTTAAAAATTTGTAATTAATGAAGATTTAAGTTCTTAATAAAGATACGTGGCTTTTATTAAAGTAAATAAATGACTTACAAAAATAATAGATTTTCAATGAAGTAAAATATATAAATGCAGTGTACTAGTTTATAGCATTAAATTAAATACTAACTCATTAAATTAGTAGAGGTAACTCAACATGCTCTTTATTAACATGTTCAATAATCCAGCAAAGTTATTGAATGGAAAGTTAATAAATCAAAACAAAAATTATATAAGGATTGTAAATTATCCATAATAATTAACTTTATAATGAATAAAATTAGTATATTTTACTTTATATGTTATTTATTAATATTATTGTTCAATATATGACAGAATTTTTTGAGAAATGGACAATAAATAGTTTTATTAACATAACCATATTTGTATTAAGAAGAATTAGAATGTTACAAAAATTTAATTTTGCTTATAAAATACTTGAGGAAAAAGCATACATTAAAATGTCTATAATAAAGTGCATAAATTTAAAAATCTTTACACTGAAATATATATACTCTACTATATGTCTTTGTGTTTACCCTAGAAAAGAAAATATGTTTTTATGCATATGTACATCCATAATATATATATTTTTTTAGGATTAATATAAAGTAGAGTAAAAGATAATAATTTATATGTTGTGATGATGTTAAATAAAAGACAAATAATAAGATTAAAACTAAATAATAAATCAATGAAAAATTATTTAAATCTCATAAAATGACTTATTCAAATGTAAAATAAATCCTTGCTTCAAATTAACATCCTTAAAAAGGAAGCAAATATTATTTGAAATAATTAGTAATTAATTAATTAATTAAATAAATAGGAATCCCTACATGTTTTTCACTAATTCGAATATTTCAAGATACAACAAAAGTATTTAGTACATCAATTAATTCATTATGTGTATATTTAAATGAAATATTAATTTTTAAATATAATATATTGTCATATTAATTAGAGAATGAAGAAAGATAAAATTTATATTATAAAAAAAAGTAATGATTATTTAAATTTAACATACAAATTGTTTTTTTATTTATTTTGAAAAATATTTTCATTAATGAAAATATATATGTTTTATTTGTATCTGAATTTTATTAAATTTGTTTTCAAAAAGAGATTATTTTGATGTAAAAAAATATTAGGATGATATTTTTGTTTTTTAAAATACTGATTTTTCTTTTAGCTTAAATGCAGAATTAAATTCCGGTTCTAATATTGAAGCCAAAATAAAAATAATAATACTTTTTTTTTAAATAAAAATTATAGTTTCAATGGTAGCGAAATAGGAAAAAAATATTTATTGATATAATTTTTGCATGTGTAATAGGTCAATAAAAAATATTATTGACTTTTTTTCTGTAATAGGATAAAATAAAACACAGCTTAAAGTTAGTTATTGGTTAATAAAAGGCTTCATTAACCTTTTTGGCTATAAAAAAGACTAGCTATGTGGAGAATACGTAGCTAATTGTGCTAACTAAAAAAAAAAAAAAAAAAATTATTGGAATTTTTTTTTGAGATATGTTTATTTCGAAAAAGATAAAGATATAAAAAAAAAAAAATAATAATAAAAAAGATTTAATTATTTTTTTTTGAAAGGAATAGAGATTTTCATTGAGAGAGAAATTTTTTTTTACAAAAGATAATAATGTTTTTATAAAAGAGTTTAATTTGCATAATATTTATATTTTGAATTTATGAGAGAAGATTTTATACATATGACAATAAAATTTTCACGTAATTAATATTCATATAATTTATTTGCATTTTTACTAATTATTTATGTTTGTTAATTCAACGGCAATATATATTAATTGATGAATGTAACATAACAAATAAACTATTAATTTACAATTAATTAATAATTAATGTTCAATAAGGATTTAAATTTTTAATAAAAATAAGGATTTTTATTAAAGTAAACAAATGCCTATTGAAAGTAAAGAATGCTGAACGAAGTAGAACACATAATAAAGAATTACTTGTTCAAAGCATATAAAAATATATATAAATACAACAAAATCGTATAGACACCTCTACATGCTCTTTATTAATTGGTTTGCTCAGTACTCTAGTAAAGTCACCGAACATCCAGTTAATAAATCAGTTATATATCTAAAATATTTAATATAATGTATTCAAAAAAAATTAATTATAATTTTCTTTGATCATTTTTTTTTTTGGAGAGCAGTTCTTTATTTATTTATATATATAAAGAGGATAATGATAAAATTTTTATCAGAAAATTATTAAATAATTGGTTATAAAAATATACATAACATTTAATACTTACAAGACATACTTTTATAAAAAATAATATATATATATATGTATATTATATCATTAGGTGTTTATAGATACTGAATATTTAAGTTTTAGTAAAAATAAGTTTTAATTTATATTAAACTAGTTAAGTTATTTATAAATTAGTTAACATATTAAAAATAATAAAATATCAAGTTAATGTAATCTTAACGAAAGAAATGTAAATTTCATATTTATTATACTGTTTTCATTATATTATATAGTATAATTATATATTATTTATAATAAAGTTTTTTATAATAGAAAAGACAATTAAAAGTTATCCTACGTGTTATTTACTAACATGGTTATTCAATATGGTATAAAATTATTTGGATGCTCTATAAATGAATCAATAATATTTCAAGTACATAAAAAATATATAGTATAATACTTATGTAAAAGTATGGTATAAAAAGCTACATTTTTATGTACATTATTTATAACTTACAATAAATATTAAAAATTGTTTGTAATGATGTAGTTAATAGGATTATTAGAATTTTTTGAAGTCATACAAAAGTGTTAAAAAGAATACAGGGTGGTCTATATTTAATATTAGAGATGTCTTTTGGATAATGTGTAGACGATTTATTAGTTACTTATTAAAAGAATTTTCTGGAGAAATGAACAAACAAAATTAATAAAGAAGATATATAGTTGCTTATATTAATTTAATTAATTTTCGTATAAGTTCAATGCTATAAATCAATAAACTGTTTTATATATATGATATAATTCATTGAGTATTTATTTTTTTTTTTTTAGGAGGAATTCATTTACTTTAATAAAAATCTTATATTTTTATTAAAAATTTAAATCCTCATTAATTATTGATTTTAATCACATATATTTTATTTATAATGTTATTAATAATGTTTATCAATGCAAATCCATTTCTTTCAAATTAACAAAAATAAATAATTAATTTAAACACAATAAATTATATAAATACTGTAAAATGCAAAAATTTTATTATTGTTAATATGATATTTTCTTATATTAATTTTAAACAAAATATGCTGCAAGAAACTTTTTAGTCAACCATCATTTCCTTATTTTTCGACTATTAAATAATTTTTAAGAAAAATAAAAATATCATTTAAGTATTTTCAATTACAAAAAAAAAAAAACAAAAAAAAATTAACTTTTTTTTTTTTTTTATATATAGCTTTTGCATGGCTAACTATTTATTTTCCATACAGCTATTTCTTTTTGTTCTCAAAAAGGATAATAGTGTCTTTTACTAACCATTAGATTATTAAACAGAATAATAGTATTTTATTTTGTACATGTTGAATTACAAGGATAATATTTAATCATAAATAGATACACTAAAAAAAATGTCATATATGTATCTTTTTTTTTGGCTTATGATGCTGACTTAAAAAGAAAAATGTTATGATAACATTTTTTTTCTTATTATTAAAAAAAAAAAAAAGAATTTTTTTTTTTTGTATGATGTATGAATTAGTATGAAGGGTGTATTTTTTTTAGTTAAAATTTAAAGGAAATTACATTTCGAAGTGTTATGCAAATTAACTTCAAAAAATAATAAAATAATTAAGTATTATTTGCTTTTAACAAAAATAATTATTTTTAAATTAAAATTTTAATTAAATTAAAAATAAATTAAATATAGTTTACTCTACATTCTCTTTATTTTGTTTACTTGCTACTTGGTTAATAAAAGGCTTCATTAACATTTTTGGCTATAAAAAGGACTAGCTATGTGGAGAATACGTAATTAGTTGTGCTAACTAAAAAAAAAAAAAAAAAAAAAAAAAGAATTATTAATTTATTTTTTTTGGGAAAGATATTTTTTTATTGAGAGAGAGATTTTTTTTACAAAAGATAATAATGTTTTTATAAAAGAGTTTAATTTGCATAATATTTATATTTTTAATTTGTGAGAGAAAATTTTATACATATGACAATAAAATTTTCACGTAATTAATATTCATATAATTTATTTGCATTTTTACTAATTATTTATGTTTGTTAATTCAACGGCAATATATATTAATTGATGAATGTAACATAACAAATAAACTATTAATTTACAATTAATTAATAATTAATGTTCAATAAGGATTTAAATTTTTAATAAAAATAAGGATTTTTATTAAAGTAAACAAATACCTATTGAAAGTAAAGAATGCTGAACGAAGTAGAACACATAATAAAGAATTACTTGTTCAAAGCATATAAAAATATATATAAATACAACAAAATCATAGAGACACCTCTACATGCTCTTTATTAATTGATTTGTTCATTACTATAGTAAAGTCACCGAACACTCAGTTAATAAAACACTACTAGCAAAGTTATTGAACAAGCAAATAATAAATGATATTATATTTTATTTTCACCATAAATTAGTACATAAAACTTACAGCTAGAATATTGACTTACATAAATTCACTTAACCTCCAGTTAATTTTTTATAAGAAGCGAAACAAAATTTTTTTTTGTTTTAGGCAAATGATATTATGATTTATGCAAAAAGATTAGTACATACACGTTTATAAAATCAATATTTATTTTAATACTAGGTAGTAAATAAGGTTCCTAAAATTATGAAATTAAATATATATTTTTTTTGAATGAATAATTCGTTTTATTATGGAAGAATCCTTGTACTATGAAAAATAAAAACATTATATAATGTTTTTATTTATGAAATTTTACTATATTTATTTAAATATTTTTTTTTTTTCACTGAAATGATTATCTCGTTCAATTGAATAATTGCATTAGAAAAATATTATAATTTTTTTTTTTTTTTTATTTGCAAGAGTATTATTAACTTACTAATGTATAACTTAATAAAGACTTATATTTTTTTTAATATTAAAATAAGAATTCTTTTAAAATTATACAAATGAAAAAATATCAAATATAAATTAAGTTATAAAACATACATTTAATTTTTTATTAAAAAAAGTTCATAAAATATTATTATTTTGAAATTTTCTTTAAAATAATTTTACGCTTCAAATTCATTTTCTCTCAAATTTTCGCAAACCGCTGGTACCATTATGTCATCTATATTAGTTTCAGCATAATTATTTTCATTGTCTGTTGAGTTTTCTTCATGATCATCGAGCCCATCGAATCTCAAAAGCTCTAATGTATCGTCTCCTTCGAACTCACATACTAAACATTTTTTACAGAACGGTTTTAGCAATCCCTAAATAATATATTAAAAATAATTATATATATGCATTTTATTTTTTAAATTGATAGAATTTGGGATTATATAAAGAATTAAATAAAATTATAGAAGAAATATATAAGAATTTCCATATTTTTTTTAACTTACATTAATGGAGCAATAGTATATTAGAAGGAAAAAAATAAAAATAAATAAAGCAGCAAAAAAAAATATTATACTATTTTCATCTAGATTAATAGGAAGCATAGATATTAAAGAGTTAATATCATCATTTGTAATTGGATTATTAGTACCGTTAGAAGTTTGTGTACCACTTAAGTTATTTGTAGAATTCATATTTATTTATATTTCTGTGTAAAATAAATTTTTTTTTTCTTATATAATAACGTTAAACTATTTTTTAATATAATTTATGATGATGTCGTTATATTTACGTAAAATTAATATATAATATTAAAAAAAAAAAAAAAAAAACAGAAAATTTAATGTAATGAATTTATATAATTTAAAATATATTTTTTATGAATTTATATAGAAAAAATATTTAATTCTGTTTTTTTCAAAATAAAGGATACTAAAATATTCTGATACTAATATTTTTTATGTGGACATATATTAATATTTTATGTTTTCACTTTGCTCCTTCTATGAAATTATATTATGAGTCATTTTTAATAAATATTTGTGGTGAAATTAAAAATCTTAATATATTTTAATTAATTCATTTTCTAAATATTCACTCTTTTTCTAATTATATATTTCTATTTTCTTAAAATTTTTCTTTTTACATAAGTAAAAGGAAGGTAAAAAAGCTTATGAAAAAGTTGAACGTAAATATTTTTTAAAAGTATTGATACTTCTTTTCTTTTTCTCTTTATTTTTTTCAAATTTATTTTTATATAATTATATAGTTGCGATGAAATGTTCTTTAATACTAAATGGATAATTTTATATTAAGAGCATGCATTTATATTGTTTTAATTATTTAATTGATGTATCACAAAATTTTTTATCTATATTTTTAAATAATAGTTCCTAAATTGTTTTGAAAAAATTTAAGTTATCTTGAAAGAAAAAAAATTTTGGGGAGAAAAATAATCTAAGAATTAATTTTTTTTGAAGTTGTTATAACTTTTGTTTATAAAAATTCGACATTTCGATTCTTACTTACTTCGATATTTTTTTTTTGATTCTTTACTTTATCAATATTGATTTTCATGTTTTCATTTTTAATAAAACAAAAGTTTTCACATTTTATGTTTTAATTATTAGTATAAATTAAATAGATAAAAGTTATAAATTTTTTTAAATTAAATTTATTCGCAAATAATAAGAGAAGTGTTAAAATAAAAATATGTTCCTCATATGAAAATTATATGGTTCAAGTTAATAATAAATAGTATTAAAATGAAGTTTAAAAAAGAGACAATTTATGAAATATAATTAAAGAAAACATACTAAAAATGTAAGGTATTTATAAAAATAATAACAACATAATTTTTGTTAAATTTATTTATATTTAAATATTTATAATAAACCTCATTAAATAGATAAAAATACTATTTAATGTAATACTTATTAGTAATTACCAACAAAAAGGCATCATAATTGTTTCTTTAGAATATAATCATATTAAATCTTAAGTTTGAAAATATGTAAATGTGATATTATAATATAAAATAATTAATCGTAATATATCATTAGAATGTTACTCTGCATATATATTCTTTCCTTTTTTATTTTATTTAAAGAGACAATACATATACGTAATTAAAATGAAATTTTATTATGCTTTCGTAAATAAACAAAAATCATATTCAGAATATAAAATAAAATTATTGTTATATTTTTATATAAAATATATAACAAAGTTTTCATTAAAGTTATAATTTTATTTAAATCTTATAAGTAAAATGAAATAGTAAAAATAAAAAATTGTTATTAGTTTTATTTATTTAATTTTAAAAATTTCCATTTTTAAAAAGCTATTATATATTTAGTTAATACAAATATCTTATAGTAAAAATACACGATGTTTTTATATTCTTTTCCAATGTTTTCCTAGTCATTTTAGGAAAGTTTTATAAGAAATTGAAAATATAAAAAATTAAAATAAATTGTTTTTTTTTTTTTAAAATGAAAATATTGAAACAATAAAATTTTGATAGTGTAAGCAATCACTTTAATAAAATTTCAAATAAACATAATTTGTAAAAAATGAATATATGTAAAATGATCTGTAAAACAAATTTTGATATTATTTTAAAAAATTTAGTGAAATATATTCTTTTTTATTAAAGTAAGATGAGCTAAATTCATAATTTTCTTATTTATAATTAAATTAGGTTATGATTTATTAATTGATTGCCTCAATATTTTTATAGTATAATAATTAATAAGTAGTAATGTTAATTTTTTTTGAATACTTAGTAGTTCATATATTGGTCTAAAAATGGTGTATAGATAAACAAAGTAAAATTATTTTTATTTGTTCATGACAAATATTGGGGAAAAATGTATGAATCTAAATGCGAATATTAAAAATACATATACAAAATGTTCATTAAAAAAAGAAATTGATTCATTTTCTTTTTTTATGTGTAATTGCTATGATAAAAAAGAGATATGTTTTATTTTTTTTCAGGAGTTTATGATTCCGATGGAGAAATTTTGAATAAAGAGAAAAATGTTAATATTTTTATTTATATTTTATTTAATAAAAAAAAAAAATTGTCATCTTAAAAAAAAATAATTCTTTTTTTTAAAAAATGGAAAATATGGTGTTATATATTATATTTATATTGTATTGTGCAAATTAATTTATATAATAAATATAAAATTAATATGTAATATTAAAAATAAATAATTTATGTAAAAATTGATTTTGTTTTAATAAAATGGGTTTTCTTGATATTCTCTTTACTCATTTGTTTGCTCAATATTAATAAAGTTATTGAACAAACGATTAATAAATCATAATTCTATTTTTTTTTTTTAATTACATAATATGTGTCATTTTTAATTAGTATGAATGCATATTTTTATGCTTTAATAATTTTAAAAATAATTTAGTTCTTTGCATTCTAAAGTAATAAACATTTATATAAAATTGTAAAATGTAAATTTTATAATAAAAATTTCTAAAAATTTTGTGTTCTTGTTTTTATTTTAATATAGTTGAATATAATTCATATGAACGTAGTAATTAATGGTTTATTTAAATACAGTAATAAAATATATGTGCATTAGAGTATATTGCTATAAATAGTTTAATTAATTATATACATACTCATTGACTATTTGAGTAAAAACAATATTTTTGGTTGAGTGAAAAAAATTATTTACTATGGGTTAATAAAAAGGAGTAATGCTTTTCATTTTGTTAAGATTTTTTTTTTTCTCTTTTACAGAAATTTAATAAAAGCCTTACTAATATAAGGATACCATATGAAATTTTAACATATTTTGTAGATAAAGAGATGCTCAATTTTTTCATTAGTTACTGATTTATCACTTGTCCATTCATAAAAGTTTTATAATGTTCTGAATAGTAGATTTATTAATTGGATGTTTTAGTACTTATACCGTATTTTAAATAGTCATTATAATAAAAAACATGCATAGAAATATAAAATAAATTATTATAAGACAGCATACTATAGATAATTATAGACTCTTTATATAATTATTTATATAATATAAAATAAGTAAGTTTGCTTTATACATATTTTTAATTACATTTCTTTGTAGTTTTATTATCAGCACGTACACAAAATCATTAAAAAAAATAATTATCATATTTTTTTTCTTTTATAAAAAAATAATTCTAACAAAATATTAAAAAAAAAATAATTTTTTTTTTTTAAAAGTTCTTACACATAAAAAATTTTTTTTTATTATGAATATCTTTAGATATGTTTCTAAAAATAATATCTTCAGAAACGCATCTTTATTGTAATCTTTATATATAAAATTTTGTTATATGAATCTTTACAAATCTTTCAAATATATTACATGCATAAGCAATTATTATATATAATATTTTTCATTATAATAAAATGTCAAAAGAGTCAATATATTTTATAGGATAATAGTCTAATTAAGAGCATGCATAGAAGTACCAACTTATTTTGTTTTTTATAAAATAAATTTTATTAATTTATAAATTTAAACTTTATTATTTATTTTAAACATCAATTAATGTATACTTTATACAAATAACATCACACATAACTTTATGCATTTTTCAAGACTAAATTAATTTTTTTTTTTTTAAAAAGTAGTAAAAAAAATTAAAAACAAGTTAATGCTAACGCACGTATATATTTGTATAATTATTTCTTACATGTACATATCAAAACATATAATAAAATGTATTTTTATAGAATATATATTATATTAGATTCATATACTTAAGTGTACTTATTTCAATATGTTTATTGTCCTTGCATATCTTATATACACAAGTTAAACTATTTAATATTCATTATTATCGAACGTAAAAACAAGTCTATAATACTGTTTAATGACAAATAAATGAATCAAAATATATATTTCTTTTTTATTTATAATTTTATTGAAATATAAAGTATAAAATGTGTAAAATAATCTGATATAATTTTAATTCCTAATGATGAAAATTTGCTTTTTCATCATTTAAAAATTTTGTTTTATATTTTACTGTTGTGTTCTAATGTAATATTGTATTGTGTTTTAAAATAAACAAAAACAATATGAGTATTAAAAACGAAAATTACTTATCTTTAATATAGTTGTATGAAAAAAAATAAAATATGTATGTATAACGACAAAAAAGGAAAATGTTATTTTTTCATATAAAAAGATGAATAAAATAATTATAAACACAACATAAAAAAATAAATTTTACACTATATATAGTGATTTAAAAAACAAATAATATGAAATAATAATAAAAAAAAAAAAAAATATATATATATATATATATAATTATAAAAAACTTAATATTTTATATAAATATTAAGTAATATAAATTTTTTAAATTAATTGAAATAAATATATTATAATTATGAACATCTTTTAACTTACCTTAATTATGAGATTTCCTTTTTTTATTATAATAAAATAATATATTAATGATAAAAAAAAAAGAAAAAAAAAGAATGATTCTACAGTAAAACTATAATATAATAATATATTAACGAACAAAAAAACAAAAATGAATTATAACGATTGTTATATTTTCTTAAACTATCTTAATCATTAAATATATATATAAATATATATATAAAGCTACTGCATAACATATAACAATTACAAATATATTAATTCTAATTTATATTGAAATGAATGATTATGAAATATGGAATAAGGAATTTAATTATGTTTATTAAATTGATTTCTATTATTATAATAACTCTAATATTCATGATTACAATTATACACTCTGATATGAAATTAATACATATATTTAACATATGAAATATTCTTTTTGTTAAAGAAAAATAGGGTAATTTTCACCTTATCATGCGTTTTTCATATTTCCTATTATAAATTAATAATTATTTGAAAAATCATTAATTTTAATAAGAGAATTTAAATAACAATAAAAAATAAAGAAATGAAAGCTGTATGTTGACATAAATATAGATAAAAATTAAAATACCATTTTTCTTTAAAATATCTCTATGGCACTAAAAATATTAATTCTTCTTCACTTATTTGCAATTTCGCTTAAATAGACTTTTGTTTTCTTCGTCTACGTTTCTTATATCTACCATTTCAATTACTGTTTCATCTGAGATTTCTTGAATTTCTTCTTCTGTAACTCTTGCTTCATCCTGCTCATTTTCACCTCTCGAAATTGGTTCGTAATGAGATGTACGTCGACAAAACAGTTTCTTAACAATATTCTGTCAAATAAAATAAAAAGTAAAATCAATCAATTTTTTTTTTTTTTTATGTTAAAAGTATTTTGATTTATATAAAGAATTAAAAAAAAATTAAGGGAAGTATATATTTATTTTTATTTTCAATTTTATCTTACCTGAAAAAAATGTTTGTATATAACAGCAATTAAGAGAAACCCATACATTAACCATATACTGAAGAAATCTATAGTTAATCTTTCAAACGAACTTAAGCTTGGTACGAATCTATGAACCGTGGTATTACTTGATGTTCCATTACATAATTGTAGAGCAGTATTACATAAATTTGTTGTAGAATTGCATAAATGTGTCATAGATAATTGTCCTGTATTATTACATAAATTTTCTGTATTGTTACATAAATTTTCTGTATTATTGCATATTTGTTTTGTTAAGTTACATAATTGTGTAGAAACATTACATATATGTGATTTTGATTCTGTTACTTCATTTGTTATATTAATTATATTTGTTGACGATTCCCTTAATTCCGTCATACTTTGATGCATTTGTGGTGAAGAATTTATTTGTTTATGGCATGAATTAGTCTGATTGAATATTTGTAAATCATTTGTATTCGTTATTTCTGATAATGACTCAGAGGCATTTGGTGTTAGCTCATGAGAATTATTTACATGTTGTGTCAACCCTTCAATATTTGTTGAATTGTTTAACACAAAATTGTTATGTTCAGCCATATAAAGTTTCAAAATTTTTATAAAATACAGAAAAAAAAATATATTAATAAAAGATTATTCTTGATTATTATTTCAATATGATTTATAAGTTATTTTTAATATAATTAATATTTTGAATTTAGAAAAAAAAAAAAAAAATTATAACAAGTGTTATAATGCTGAGAATAAAAATAAAAATACAAGTAAAAAACTATAAGTTTCTTATGCAAAAGTTACGTAAAAGTATTTAAAGGATTTATGTATTATATTTAAAATTTACTAAGCTACAAATTTTCACTGTCAAACAATTAACAGTGAACATTAATCAATTATTTTTTTATTTTATTTTAAATTTCCAAAAAAATATACTCTATAAATTTTTCAAAGTTAAATGTTTTTTAGGTTCTATCTATATACACACTACAACTTTTGTTTGTTTTTTTTTTTTTTTAAAAACTACGTGTGAAATTTTCCATTTTCTTTTATATAAAAAGTTAGCATTATTATAAATATTAATGCAAAAAAATCATTGTAGTCTTTTCTTTTTTTTTCCATCTACTTTCTTTCTATACTCATATGTATTTATATACAACTCTAAAAAAATATTTTTACTTTTCCAATATATTATAAAAAATCTTTGATCTATATTAGATTTATTTTTAATAACATTTATGTATGATGTATTTGAAGCTCTTAGGTTAATTTTAAAAATAACTTAAATTTATTAATAAAATATTATTAGAAAAATATGAGCTTCACATTCGTTTTTATATTTATTCTTTTTTTTTTGTTTTTGTTGAATTAATATTAAATGATTCAATTTTTTTTCATTAGTTAAAAATATTGTTTCATTAATTACTATTCTAGCTTTTTCATTCCATTTTTTCAAGTTTTCATTTTCATTATTAATCTATTTCATTTATTTAGATGTGATGAGTTTTATTGTTTTTATTCAAAATGATATAAAAATACTAATAATTTTGAAGTTAAAAGCGTTTGTTAAATAAGAAGTATATTTAGAAAAATTGAAATGTTAATAAAATAGCAAATTTGGGAATAGTTATATTTTTTGAAAAAAAAGAGAGAAAATATTAAAATTAAAGGAAATAAAATAAATTAAAATAAAATATAAAAATTAGAAAAATAATTTTTTTTTTTATTTGCTAAAGATATTCAATTTTTTTTAATAGAAATACGTAGTTTTAATAGTAAGCTATAATATTTAAGTTTAGATTTATTAATTTTTTTTAATGATTGTGTTTTAAGTTATACACTAATATTAAATAACATGTAAATATAAAATGAATTATAAAAATATTATATCACATGAATATTAATGCTCTGCTTTAATAAATTTCTGATTATTTTAGTTACATTTTATTAAATTCCTCTGTTCTCTATTTTCATTTAAATACACTATATACATTTGTACTTATTTTATTTTTTTTTTTTTGCATTGTAATATAATTTAAAAACATTCGAATAAATGAATAATAAAAACTTTAACTCTTAATAATTTTTAATTGAAATTTTTATGAAATTATTAATAAAATATAAATAATAAGGCTATATAGCTTAATTATTTTTTCATTTTTTTTTTTTTTTTTTAAATTTAAAAAAATTATCACTGTTATATATTTAGGTTTCAGCTTATATGCATTGATTAATATGAAGTTTTATTATCCTTTTTATATAGGCGAGTTGACAATGTAATATAAATTGAAGTATTGTTCACCCAAAGCGTTAAAGAAAATTTTAAAATAATTTATCTCAAAATATTATAATATAGATATGTATATTAATGAAAAAAAAAGAAAATTTTTTTTTTTTTTTTTTTTTTTTGTTTTTGTGATGTTCGTTACATAATATTTTTTTTGTTAATTTTTATTATTGATATATTATTATGTTATTTAAAGATTATTTTTTATAAAATTAAAAGTTTTTATATTAAGGATTTATGTTTTAATAAAAACAAGGAGAAATTATTATTAAATTAAACAAATACTTCATATAAAATAAAAAATGTGATAAAAATAATAAAAATATTGTTCTAACATACTTTTATTTGAAGGACTACAAATATTGTTAAGAATAAAACATTTTTTATTAGGTAATTTAATTATATAAGGAATATGAATTCATTAAAAAAGTATATTTTATAATAAAAAAAATTATTAGAGTTTATTTTTCGTTCTCTTTATTAATTGGCTTGCTCAATGCACAATAAAAATCTTTGAATAGGGAATAAATATATTAAGTATGCTCTTTTTATTGAAATTAATTAAATAACTAATTAAATAAAAATCGTATGAAAAATTAGATTATTTAAATTACCTAAAGTAATATAAAGTGTGTAACAATAATATATGATGTGTTATTACCTCTTGAATAATCAAAAAATGGTTTTTAGATAGTAATAAAAAAATAAAAATTATGGCATTTTAATTTATTAATATATAAAGGAATCTTTTAGTAATAATAATGTTACAAAATATTAATATATATATTATTTTTCATACATAATATCAGTAACAATTAATATTAGATGTTCAAAATACATATATTACTTGATTTTTCTTTTTTCTTTTTTTTTTTATAAATTTAAGGAATTAGGACAATTATTTAAATTAAAAAAGTTGCAATATATATTATAATGTAATAAAAAAGAAAAGCTCTAGTTATATATAAGCTGCAATAATGTATTTGTAATAATCGTAATGAAAATAATAATTATAGTTAATATTATAAAGTTTTTTTATAGATCATAAAATTAGCTAAAATAATGATAAAGTTATAATATATTTAATGCTAATTACTAGGAGAATATACAATTAGTGGCTATGAGAATAAGTTAATGGTAATGAAAATAAAATTATATAAAATTAAAAATATAAATATTATCAGTTATAACAATAAAGAATCTTTATAATAAGTTACTTATATATGATGTAATAATAACACATTTGTTGATAATTAAAGTATATAAAGCTTAAACCTCAGATGCAATTCTTAATTCACAAACGGTTTTTTATATAAATGAAAACACACTAAAAAGAAAAAAAAAAAAAAAAAATACTCTTGATCATAATAATGATTACAATACAAATTGTAAACTTGATTATTACATAATATTATAACTAATAATGAAAACTATAATAGTCTTTATGTTAATATTTTTTTTAATGATAATAATTATAATATTTTTTGAATACTGTAAGTAATAATTAAAGTTTTTGTGATACCTTAATAATAGCATTAATGATTATAAAAAGTAACATATATAAGAGAATAAAATGAATTTTTTTTCACAAAAAATATAATTTATAGTAATACTCTTTTATAATATTGCATTTTTAGAAGTATGCTATAATTTTAACACAAATATATAACATAAAAAAATTATAACAAAAAATTGATTTTTCTTTATTCTAAAATTTTAGAGTATTCAATTATTACTCTTTTTTCTATTTCTATTAGATAAATATAATATGAAAAAGATCTATTTCTTTATCATTTTTAGTCGAAAACATGGACAAGAATTTTAGCTTTTAAATCAAATTAAACCTTATTAAAAATGAAAAAAATTAAAACAAAATGTTCTTTTTGTTAAATGTGGAATAAGGAATTTTTTCACTTTTTCTTTTAATTTAAATAATATAAAATAATTAAAATTTAAAATATATATTTTATACGATTTTTTTTTTTTTTTTTTTTTTTTTTTTTTAAATTAATATTTATTTTCCTTTGACAATATTATTACCCTGATATACAAATACAGTATTTTTTTATTTTTTGCAGATTTTTACACATTGATATTTTTATTATAGTTATATACTTTTATAAGTCTTTTTATATAGCATTTGTTTATTAAGATATTCTATTTAATTATTGGTGAAATGATAGCAATCTTAAGAAATTTTATGGTTTATGCAAAATATAGTTTGTTAGGACACTTGGTACATTTGCAAAATCATATATTGATCTATAATTTGTGATGTTGCTTTTTTTAAAATTAATATGGAAACTAAATTAAAGATATGTTTAATAAATTTCATTAAACTTATTATTTTTAGTAAAATAATCCTATGTAGATTAACATATTATATTTCATGAATAATTAATATTTTTACGGAGAAAATATTTTTAGCAGAATTTTATTCTTTTTGATTTTTCAAAGTTCTTGTCTCTTGTAACCATTTCGTTAGAGATTTCCTTTTTATAAAAATTATTGTCATTAATTTAAATTTTAAATACAATTATGCATTTTTTTTTATTCTTTAACAAAAAAATAAATGAAATATTTGTATCTAAAATTATTCTATAGTCATTAATGGTTTGCCCTAATTTTCCCCAAAAAAGAAAAAGTTTACTAAAAAGTAATAAAAAAATTATAATAGAAGTGTTAATATTTTAGTGTTCACAAAAAAAAAAAAAAATTTTTTTCTTTTTTTTTTTTATATTTAGTTAGATATAGATATTTTTATATATATTATTCACTTGAATTCTTAAATATCTACACATAAAATTTTTAATATAATATTGTCAATTTATATCTGTAATATGGATAATAAGGTATTTCGTAAAGAAGATAATTTTTTTTTATATTTTCATTAATGAAAAACTATTTTTAATTAAAATTAAATCATATGTTATCTATTTAATTTACCTATGAGATTTAAATTTTTGCCATATTGAAGATAAACAAGAAAAGATGATGAAAAATAAAATTAAAAAAAAGGATAGAAGAGAAATATAAAGATAATACTATAAATTTATTGATAAAAAAAATATGATTAATAAGAATGATAAAAAATATCCACAACAATTTTTTTATAGCTATGAATGTTTTACATTTAAACAATATAGGCTTAAGTGCATAGTGAAAATTGTTTAGAAAATCTCTTTAAAATGAAATTAAACTATTTATAATATAACATAATTCATAATTTATGTAAAGCTGTAAACTCGTTAAATAAAAAAGGTATTTTATTTACAATCAAGGTCAATGTTAATATATAGCTGATAATGTTACATATAAACAATGGAATACAAACAACTCATGAAAGAAATTCAGTTCCTTTTAATGCTTGTTATAAATAATATCTTATATAAAATATTGAATTACATTAAATATATTATATTTATATCATTTAAATTTAAAATAAATTTACCACGGTTAAAATTGATAAATTATGAAATAGTGTAACCTTATTGAAATTATTTAAAATTATTATAAATAGCTGTAATTTTTTCATAAAATATTTAATGATGCATTTATTATTGTGAAGAATGTCATATGTAAAATCAATCATATATTTCTACAAACGCATTAACAATGCATAAAAGTTTAATCATATGCTTTAATATTAAATGAATACTTAGGTGATTGTTTTATTAAATGGCTGTACATTGACTTTGTTGTTAATAAAAGGATTAGTTATATGAAGAATATGTAGTTGGTTATGCACACACAAAAAAAAAAAAAAAAAAAAATGATAAAAAAAAAAAATCAACTGGAAAAAGATTATGTTACCAATAAGAATGAGATATCAAAAAAAAAAAAAAAAAAGATTTTTTTTTTTAACGAAGTAGGATTAAATTAATTTTGTAAGAGAAAATTTTATATAGATAACAATAAAATTTTCACGTAATTAATATTTATATAATTCTTTGTATTTGTCTATAATTGTTTATGTTTGTTAAATCTTCAGCAATATATATTAATTGCTGAACATAACTCATAATAAAGAAACAAGTAATATACATTTAATTAATAATCAATGTTCAATGAGGATTTAAATTTTTAATAAAAATAAGGATTTTTATTAAAGTAAATAAATGCCTACTGAGATCAAAGAATGCTGAATGAAGTAGATTACATAATTAAGGATCACTCGTTCAAAGCATTTAAAAATATATATAAATACATCAAAACCGTAGATGCAACTCTACATGCTCTTTTTTAATTTGTTTGTTTAATACTCTAGTAAAGTCACCGAACACCCAGTTAATAAATCAATTTGCGACAACGGCAGGAAAATCGAAACCATTACAAAAAGAACCAACATTGGATTTGCAATTGTTAATCATGGACGAAGAAATAGATAAGCTTGGATTGAAAATACTCGAGGACATAGTTTCTTTTCATAAGTCTTATGTATTCAAGGTGAAGAAGGACAATGAATCAACAGAAGTCAAAATTCCAAAAGAAATTCCAAAGTTAACAAAAGGATCATTAAAGGATTATTTCGAATGGTTCACGTATTTTGAAAAGAAAATAAAAATGCAAGGGTTCTCTAGGAAAGAGACATGTATGATACTTCAGCCTATGCTACCAACTGCATATGGAGGTGAGATTGCAGAAATAGCTACTAACGAGGACATAACTAACATATTGCAGTTACAGATAATCTTGGCAAGGTCATTGTTTGTTGATAAAGAAGAGAGTTACGAATTAATGTTAAAAATATTAAGTGAAGGCGAAAAATCCACAGTAATAGAGGCTACTGATTCTTTTATTAATGATTGTAGAATATACGCTAAAAGTTGTTTATGTATGAAAAAACCCAATGATTTAGCTAGTATAGATTTGTGGAGAATACTAAGAAGACGTACTCCAATAGATATTAGGAATAGAATGCCAGTAAGTAAACCAGTGAATGAAACTTTTAGGACATATATGAAAAGTATGATAGAATTGGAATCAACGATAAAAAGGAAAGATAAATCAAGTAAAGCAGCAATATATAGACTTGATAATGAAAATGATAAGGAGGGGAAAATAAATAAAGCTAAGATAACAAATAAATGTTATTGTTGTGGAGAAAAGGGTCATATTAAGAAGGATTGTGTATATCGTAAGAAAAGATGTAATAATTGTAATATGATAGGACATTTGGAATCAGTATGTAGAAATAAAGTGATTAAAGATAAAGAAGATGAAATTAAAGGTATAATAACAGATAAAAGCTATGATTTAAATTTTAAAATGATTAAAAATGAAACTAACCCACAGAAAATCCGTCAAATGCAAAAATACCTTAATAAACAATTGGAACACCTGGAAAGACAAAAAGAAAAAGCAAAGGAAAGGTATAATGAAAATAAACCTAAAGGAGGTGACGAAGAGAAGAATAGAAAGAGTAACAAAATAAATAAGATATTTAAGGAAAAAGAAATTGACATCGAAAAGGAATCCGCTGAAGGTGTAACAGATTCAGCAGAAAGGGTATTCTATGTTGATATCGCAATAGAAATTGGAAGAGAAAAAAGACAATGTATGAATGCGGAACAAATAGTAGAAATTAACGGACATAACGTTAATGTATTACTATGTACAGGAGCAGATATATGTACTATATCAACGGTTTCAGCTAAAGAACTAGGTATAGAACCAGATATCTCACTACAACCAATAAGAGTTGTTGGAATATATAATGAAATTATGGCAATGAAATCTAAAAAGGTGAAAATATTTATGAAATTTACCAATGTAAAGGTATTAACCAGATTTGCAATAATAAAATCAAATATACCCACAATATTAATTAGCGGTGAAGTGATGGACGTATTAGGATATTCCATTACACAAAGAAAAGGTCAACATATGCATATCATGGAACTTAAACCCGAAATAAGGGAGGATAAATTAGAGAATTCGAATAAAGAAATTATTCAGAAATTTATTGAAGGATCTGATGTAAAAGATCAGGAAAATAAAGAAAAATTGGAAAAAGTATTAAGAAATAATACAAAACTCTGGGAAAATAAAATCATGGAACCCAACAAGAAATACAAAGTTTCTATTCAGGTACAAGGGAAACCCCGGCGTTATAACCCTAGACCATTGAGTGAAGAAATGTTATCAGAATTACATCGAAAAATAGATGAAATGATAAAGTTAAAAGTAATAAGTAAGGTCATTAATGCGGAATGGACCTCACCAATAGTAATGGTTAAGAAGAAAACAGGCCAATGGAGAGTCACGTTAGATTATAGGTATTTAAATAAATTTATAGTAGATGATTTATATATCATCCCACATATGAAGCACATATTTCAAACGTTTCATGGATCGAAATGGTTTTCGAAAATAGATCTCAAAAATGGATTTTGGAATATAGCATTGGATGAAAGTAGCAAACCATATACCGGATTTATAGTTCCGAAGAGAGGAACATTTTTGTTTAATGTATTGCCATTTGGACTAAAAACGAGTCCTACGCAATTTCAAAGAATAATGGAAGATATTTTTATGGAATTAATTCAAGAGAATTATGTAGTTGTGTACATTGATAACATCATCATTTTAACAAAAACACTATTTGAACAAATGGAAGTATTAAAACGAGTATTTGAATTACTCCGTAATAATAATTTAGGTATAAATATAGAAAAGTGTGAACTTTTTAAAACATCTATAACTTATCTTGGACAAGAGATAGACCAAAATGGTATAAGACCTTCAGTAGATAAGGTGAAAACGATTATTGAAGCAGAACAACCTAAGTCTAAAAAGCAATTAAGATCATTCTTAGGAGCTGCTAATTATTATAGGAATTATATTAAGAACTTTTCAGAATGGACTTCTAAACTAGTTCCATTGATAACTAAGAAGCAGAAATTCGAATGGAAAGAAGAACATTCAAAGGCTTTTGAACAGATCAAGAATAAAATGACAGAAATAACTTATCTATCATTTCCAGAATTAGGAGAACCCTACGCTATTTATACTGACGCATCAGATTGTGCGATAGGAGCTGTATTGACTCAAATTGATAAGGATACAGGTCAAACTAAATATATTCATTATACATCGAAAAAATTAAATGAAGTACAACAAAGATGGAGTACGGTCGAGAAAGAATTATTTGCTATAGTAGTAGCATGCGAAACATTCGATTATTATATTAAAGGATCTAAAACTTTAATTAAAACAGATTGTAAAGGTATTATTGGAATGGATTCAATTAATACTGGAAAACTATATCGATGGAAGTCAAGACTATCAGAATTTAACTTAGAATTTGAACATATTGAAGGAGTTCAAAATAGTTTAGCTGATTGGATCACTAGATCAATAGAAGATGAAATAGATCTTCCTAATTACATGACCTTATATTGTAGTAAACCTCAAGAAGTATATGAAGATTTATATGTTATACCTTCTTGCGAGGAAATAGCAAATGCAGCAAGAAAAGATAAAGATAACATACCAAGAGGCGTAGTGTGGAAGGATGATTTCCCAATTCACTATAGAACAGGAAGATTATATATATCAGAAAAATATAGAAATCATTTAATGTATTGGTTTCATAGTAGTAAATTCGCAGGACATTGTGGAGTAAATAAAACACTAAAGAAAATACAAAAACATTTTTGGTGGCCCAATATTAGTAAAGATATTGAAGAATACGTCACAAATTGTTTAGTTTGTCAAGTAATGCGTAATAGGAAATTTAAACCTAATCATAACCAAGCTTTATCAAAACCGAATGTATTTGATATGGTTTCATTAGATATTATAGGACCTAAAACATGGAAAGGTACAGAATACTTTATACAAGTAGCAATAGATCATCATTCACGTTTTATGGTGACGAACATAACTAATAAAACACCTAATGCTATGGATGCAATTAGCATTATAAAGAAAACATGGATACCCATATTTGGATGCCCTGCAAGCATCTTAACAGATCTCGGTTCAATTTATACTAGTCTAGAATTTCTTGACTATGTTACAAAAGAAATAAAGGTTAAATTATATCATACTAGTGCATATTATCCACATGGAAACGGTATAAATAAAAGCTCTCATAAAAGCTTAGATTATATCATGAAGACTTTATATGAAGAAAAAGATATACCTTTTGATGAAATAGTACAAAATGCAACACTAATATATAATAATACACCTCATGGAGCTCTAGGAGAAATACCTTATTTTGCTATGTTTGGAATGTATTGTATCTGTCCAGGATTTGCAGAATTAGTACCGATAACAACTTCTGAAATGAGAATTATATACTTAAACGATCGATGGAAGAACATAAGTGAAGATGTTAATGAAATCAAAAGAAAACCTATAATTGAGAATAAAAATATTAAGGTTGGAGATATTATCTCATACGAATTATCAGAATACGAAAGGAAGCAAATGAAACATTATAGTGGAAATATACAATATAAACCGTATTGGTCATTTCCCCATAGAGTAACTAAAGTTGAAAACGGAATTTTGAAAGCATTACCTATATATTATAGAGGTAAAGAAGTACAAATTCCAATGTCAAAAATAAAATTGTTGAGAAACAAAACCAGGGAAATATATGAAAAGCAACTTCAGAATTTAATACAAGTTACGAATAAAAATAAATGGAAATTAAATCTAACACATGATTTAAAGTATAAAGATTACCTAGATATTCATAAACGGAGTAGTATCATAACGTATGATATCAACGAATATCAGGAAAAGCAAATTGAAAAAGGAGTACAAAAAGGACTTGATGTAATAAAACAAGCCAAAAGTAACAAACTTTAAGTAATAACCATTACTTTCCCATGGTGGTGGAGTATGATTAATAAAAGTCTTTATTAACCATTTTGGAAAATAAAAGGACTAGTTATATGAAGAATATGTAGTTGGTGATGCACACACAAAAAAAAAAAAAAAAATGATCAATTTTTTTTGTTTGTATTTTTATAAAAAAAGAAATACCATCAGGAAAAAAAAAAAATTGATAAAAAAAAAATCAACTGCAAAAAGATTTGTTACCGATAAATAAAAATAAAAAAAAAAAAAAAAAAAAAAAAAGATTTTTATTTTTTGGTAAACGAAGAATGATTTTAATGAATTTTGTAAGAGAAAATTTTTATACATATAACAATAAATTTTTATGTAATTAATATTTATATAATTCTTTGTATTTGTCAATAATTGTTTATGTTTGTTAAATATACAGCAATATATATTAATTGCTAAACATAACTCATAATAAAGAAACAAGTAATATACATTTAATTAATAATCAATGTTCAATGAGGATTTAAATTTTTAATAAAAATAAGGATTTTTATTAAAGTAAATAAATGCCTACTGAAATCAAAGAATGCTGAATGAAGTAGATTACATAATTAAGGATCACTCCTTCAAAGCATTTAAAAATATATATAAATACATCAAAATCGTAGAGGCAACTCAACATGCTCTTTTTTAATTTGTTTGTTTAATACTCTAGTAAAGTCACCGAACACCCAGTTAATAAAACAAGTATTGAACATACATATAAATAAAGAGCATGTGGGATTTGCCTCTACGCATTTAATGAATTAATATGTAATTTTAATTCTATAAACTAGTAAACTGTATTTATGCTGTCTACTTCATTGATCATTTGTAATTTTTAAGAAACATTTACCTACTTTTATAAAAATCCTATATTTTTATTGAAAATTTAAATCCTCATGGATTATTTTTAATTAGATTTTACCTATAATGTTATAAACACTGCTTAGTAACTGAAGTCCATTGCTTTCAGATTAACAAACATAAGTAATAAATGAAATACAAATTAAATTATATAAATATTATAAACACGAATTTTTATTATCGTTAATATAAAATATTCTTATAAGAATTTAAATTCAATTTACTGCAAGAAACTTTTTAGTCGACAACTTTTCTTTTTTTTTTTAACAACAAATCATTTTATAAAATATATATATATATATATATATATATATATATATATATATATATATATATATATATATATATATATATATATATTTTTATATATTTTAAATTTAAAAAAAGAAAAAAAAACTTAACAACTAATTTTTTTTTTTTTTTTTTTGTCTAACGTTTGCATGGCTATATATTTTATACACAATTATATTTTTTATTCCAAAAAAGGTTAATAATACCTTTTATTTACTAGTGATACAATAAAGTGCAACAGATAACTACTTGAACATAGGTTTTTATAGAAATATAAAATTATAATGTTAAATATATAAATAATAAAACCTATTAGCAATGTGACGTATGTATAATTTTCCAGATAATAATAAGGGGTTACAAATTTACTTAATCTATTAGATAATAACTATTTTATGATAACATAAAATATTTTGTATTTTTTTTGTAAAGAAAATGCGAAAAAAAGAAAAAATTTAAGAAATATTTTTGAAAAGTAATGTTATATAATATAATAAAAATTTTTTATAAGTTTTTATCAATATGAAAGATATCTCGGGATTTCATAATTCAAATACACTTTAATTTAAAACATTAGTGAACAATTACTAATAATGTAAATTTAACGGGACCTATAAAAAAAAAAGTAAAAAAAATGTATAGTTTTCTTTAAAATATTTGTAAGATTAATAAAAATCATATTTTCATTTTCTAAGAACAAATTTAATAAAAACTTGATTATATAAAAATAAAAAGAATTTAAGACTCAAAAGGAAATAATTTCAAAAGAAAAAAAATAAAACTATAAAAGAAATATTATAATAAATATTTCTCTTTGCAGTAGAGAAATTGTTAAAAATCATATTGAATGCAATAAGACTTGGATATTTAAAATAATAAAGTTCATTAATTATATTATAAAAATTATGTAGAATAAGTTTGTATGGTGATACTAACTTTAGACGGAAAAGAAAAAAATAAAATTAATTTTTCATTCAATTTATACAACTCATAAGGATATATTAAATATAAGAGAGGTAAATAATAAAAAAGTTGAAAAATAAAATATTTATATTTTGTTGTTACTTCTGAAATATGAATTGAATTCCAAATCAGATAAAATATAATAATGTTATAAAGAACTTAATCATCTATATGCCAAACTCATTATATATATATTTATATTCTTACATAGTTATTAATAAAAAATGTATAAATTTTTCTCAAATTTAGGAATGTAAAATATTTATAAATGTTAATATTTATTTGCTCTAAAACATAAGTCCTATAATGAGTTAAATATCAAAAAATTTTAATATAGTTTGTTGGGGAATCTTATATATAATAAAAAATTATAATAAATGAATATTCTAAAATATATTTACGTTAATTGAGCACATTATTAATATATAAAAAAAGTGATAAAATATTATATGAAAAATATGGATAAACCTTAATATTTAAAAAAAAAATTATTTGAATAAATGACTGCATATATATGTATTTATTTTAATGCTTATGTTAAAACCAAAGTTTACTAAGTATATGAAAAAATACGATTTTAATATATATAGAAAAGCCTTAACATTTTAAATAACAGTTTTATTTTATTTTTTTTCCTTTTTATTATACAATTTTAAAACACTTTTTTTTAAAAATAAAAATAAAAATAAAAATTTATTGATTATTCATTATCATATATTGCAAATATAGAGATTTTTGTTTTCTTATATAATTCATTATTTATAACAAAAATGTAATATCATTTATTTTTTATTAATAATTATATAAATTTTCTTTTTGGTTTAGTTTTAGTTTATGTTTATATTTTAAGATTCAATTAATAACTAAAGTGATATGAAAAGTAAATAGAGTACAATTTAAGGGGATATAGTATCCAATTTTAAAAAATAATTTTTTCCACATTTACAAAAAAGTTCTGAAATATTATACCTTAAATTGTTTAGTGCAATTCTATGTTATATCCTTACACTACAGTAGTAGAAAAATTTTATATATGAAATTTTTTTTTTAAATGTTGGAAAAGATTAATATATGGTAAAAAAAAGTTAAAATAAATATTAATACGTTAAAATAATATTTTTTTGTTTAATTGAAAAAATGGAAAATACTATAGCAGTAGAAATTAAAAATAAAATTTGTATATTTTACATAAAATTATTTTAAAAATTAAGTAAAAAATTAATAAGAATTTAAAAAATTTAATATAATAATTGTTTTCCGCATATATATTATTACTCCTTCTACTTTTACTATTTTTAAATAAAGTCAAATAATAAAAACTAAGCGTAAAATATTTTTATATTGATCTTGATGATTATAAATATTAAAAAAAAATTGATTATTTACCTTAATAAGGATTGTAACATAAATTATCATAATAATCACATTAGTTTCTTAAGATAATAACAGTCTTGAATATTATTTTTAATAATTAAAATTAAATTTTCCTATAAAAATTAAATTATTTAAGGATAAAAATAATGATTACTATAATTAACACAGGTGTTACACATACTTCATTGTAGTTAATTACAGAAATTTTCTTACATAACTTGTTATAGGTTTTATAAAAATAATTAAGAGAATAATATTAATAATTTCATGATTACAATTTTAAATGTAAAAATCATGGAGGTTATTAGTTGTGTTAAATAATGATAATGCTTTAATATTTTTGTCTATTTTAATCATTATTATTTAGTTCATTACACCGTATGTTAATATAATATTTATAATACATTACAAAATAATTTGTAGCATTAATCTTTCCATTTAAAATTAAACTAAACAACAATTAATATGATGTTTATCTAAATAAACTAAAGCAAAATAAAAAGGATAAGGTGAAAATAAATTTAAATGATATCATATATTGTATAAATGAAAATGAAATTAAGTGAAGTAACACTAAATAACAACTGTATAAAGCAATTTACTTCAAGTTTATATAAAAGCTTATTTTACATAAAATAAAAATATAACTTAGTTTTATACTTTGTAAAATAAAAAAAAAATTTATATATATAAAAAAGTATTTTTTATTTTGTTTTAGAAGAAGATAAAATAATATTTTCATACATATTCCAAAAGTAAAAAGGAAATATTAAGGTAAATTCAATGATCACCATATACAAGAAATATAATATAAAGAAAATCTTATTATTATTATAAACAATATAATATTTCATTTCTATATATAGAAGTATATTATATACATTTAATAGTCTATATGAGATCAAAATACATAAACAATTTTTAATATTCATCTGTCTTCAGTCTATTGTAACTGTGAGAGGAAACACAATGATTTATTTCTTAAATTATTAATAATAAAACAAAGAAAAAAAGATAGTATATATATAGTAATATATCATTACCAAATAATTATATCATTATTTTAGTAATTTAAAGAAATACTGTTACACTAAAATATCTTTTTCTTTGTATATAAATAGAAATTATAGAACAATATTAATTTCATATGTTTCTTGCTTATTTATGTAAGAATAGTGATAACAAAAATAGAAACTTTAAAATATTATTTTAAATTAAATTTTTAATATATACGTTTGCAATAAAAAAAGAGAAACTAAATTCATAAGTAATAAAGATATTTATGTAAAACTAATTTAAATAATTGAAAGCGCAATGAAATTATGATAGGTGCAGCAGTAGTAAAAGGAGAATATATTATATTTGAGGAAAATTTTTATATAAAAAAATATTAAATTCATGAAAATATGAGATAATATGATGTATCATAAAAAAAGAAAAATAAAATTCAAAGAAAAATATCACCAAAATAAGCATTAATATAAAATATAGTATTAATGTAGATGTTCAAGTAAAAATAATGTTAAAGTGAAAGCTAATAATAGAATTTTGGTAAAATTTTTGCAAATATGAAAATTAAAACAAAAAAAAGTTTTAAGTTTATATTAATCTAAAAGACAATGATCAAGTTAATAGTTAATACCATAGTGAATGTTATATTAACCCAAAACTGAATATTTACACTAGAATAAAATTATAATAACGAAAATAAATAAATCAAAGTTAGTAAAAATATTTAAACTTCATTAATCCATATTTATATAAAAATAAAAAGAAGTTAAATTACTACAAAGATGAAATCTATAGTAATATTCAAATGAAAGGTAGTAATAATAGAGCATTGTTGAAGTAAAAATTATGTAAATGTAAATTAATATATTGAATTAAGCAAAGTTAATATAAAAATAATACGAAAAATAACTTAAATATATTAATAATTTAAAGAATTTTAAATATAAACATATATAAAGAATTATTAAAAACATATTGAAAACTTAAAAGATTTTAAATTAAATAAAGTTTCAGTTTTACAATTAAATTTAAAATTTTCATTAAAATAAAATTTTAATATTTTATATAATTATTAATTATATAGAACAACAAAAATTAAAAAAAACTTTTAAATTCGAAAAGGCTAAAATATTTCACAATATGTACACTAAAAGGATAAAATAAATAAAAAAATAAAGATATAATAATTTAACGATTCGGAAATATATAATTATTTAATAGATAGAAAAAAATGAATCTAAAGTAATATTTAAGCATTTTTTCATTACGTATGTAAAAATTTACTTAAAAAAGAAACTATGTTCGTATGACTATAATATT